AAAAAAATTTTTTAGTCTCAGAGCCCCATTTTCCTAGCAAACCTCCCATATGTTAATTGAATACAAAAAATTTTGTAATTGAAACTTGCTTTTGAAATTGTAATTCCAATTGTTTAACTATTTTAAAATACTTGTTAAAGATGTTTATATTCTTTATATAAAATTCATCTGTTTGCTATTGCTCAAAAAATGTGATTCAAGTTTGTAGAGATTTAAGAACATTGCCTGAAGATACTAGCATTTGTTCTTCTTCAGAGTCACTATTTTCATCATTTTCATCATACATTTCTTTTTGAATAAGATTTATAATATTATCTTAACTTAAAATATCTTCAGTTGAGATTTCTTCTAAATTACGACAGAAATTATTTAATGTATTTGCTAATAAAGCAGCATATAGATCATCCGTATCAAGATTTTTAACCATTTGATCAATATATGTTGCTGCTTCTTCATTTTTTTCTTGTTGAGTTTGTATTGCATTATGTATGTCTTCATCAGTTAAAGAAGGCAGAATTTTGGTTTTTTCTAACAATTTAATATTGTTTCCTCAGTTATACAACCTCATGCTTCTGCAATATAATTTATCGCTTCTTTAATATTCATTTTCTCTTCATTAATATTTTTTTCATCTTCGAAAAGATCTAACGTATAATGACAATATTTTCTTTTGAAATAGCTTTTAAAACTTGCAATGATTCTAGCGTCAAGTAGCTGGAGATGACTGGTAGTATTGGGAGGTAGGTAGGCTATTTCAATATGGATTAGTTAAAGTCAATATTCATTATGACTTGATCCACCATCATGACTTCTACCACGACTTCTTAATCCATGACCTCTTAATTCACTACTATAACCTCTTGGTTTATTATCACAACCTCTTGATCTACTATCACAACCTCTTAGTTTATCAATATGACCTCTTGATCCATAATCACAACCTCTTAATTTACCATCATCATGATCATTTAATTCATTCTCATAATCACTTTCTTCATCAGTATTATGTTCATTTTGATTGTCCTGCTCAATTTCTAAAATTGATAAATAATATAAATTGGAATGTGATAGAGCATTATCAATCAGAAGCAAAATTTTTTTATTTTGTATTCTAAAATAACTATTCAATTCATGAAATACTTCTTCAAAAACTAGAAAGTTTATCCATGCTTTTGGATTTCCACGATAATAGACTGGAAGGCGTTCTAAGTTAATTTTTAAAAGAGGTCTTGGACATTTTGCGTTATCAATTACCCATGACTTAAGCTTATCTGTTCCTATTGCATTAGTACCAAAAAGAACTTATTTCTTGATTTGTCTGATTTGTCTTTCTTTCTATCAGGAACAGGTTTAGTGGAAAGTGATTGGTTAGGAGACATTTGATAAAAAAAATCCTTTAATATTAATTTTGATAATAGTAAATTAGTTATTATATTAACGTATATATTAAAGATGGTACAGCAATTGATTTCAAATTTACAAAATGTTGCAACATAAGCTAAAATTAGTTGCAACAT